CTTTTTATCACGCGAAATGAATAATTATCCGAACGCTATGCAAAAGTAATGCTTTACTGCATAATCACTCGGCTACTTTATCGGCATTTGATAATTAATGATAACGACGCGGCGATTTAATAACTTATTCGTGATCAGTGCTACCGTTCCGAAGCGATGATAGTTAATATCGAGCGGTTAGACGATATTTGTTCGGTGGTCGGCAATAATTGATGCATTCCCAAGTTGTCACAATGGGCCGCCACATAATTGCGTCGCATGTAATTATATCGGCATATGCGGTTACGATACACGTTGTAAAATCCAGGATGGCGCCTCGCGCCGAGAAATCGTCTCCCCGATTGGTCTGGCAATTTTTTTTACGCGGCTATCGCGAATCCACCTCTACGGAGACCGGGTTCTTCCTTGACGTCGTTATCCTGACTTGTGGTCCCGGGAAACTCGAGGATCCTTGGTCCGTCCGAAATCCTCCAGGAGCTCCAAGTTCCCGAATATAATCCATGGAATCCCTTTACCTAATTCCCAAACACACTCGGAACGTCGAGACCCACTACTCGGCCATATATTCGACGTGTTACCACATTCGCGACGAAACAGAACGTAGAGGAAGTACGTTCGGTTAAGCGGTCGTTATCGATACCGTACGTACGAAAGTTTTTCCAGTGACTCCCATTCGAATTAGTTTTAATCCAACAATTAATGTGCACGCAAAATCATTCTGTCAAAATTTATCATCTTGATTGGAAATTATTTCTTTCAACGAAATCACAATTGAACAACACACAAAAATGGCCAATGCAAGTCTAAGGCAAGATGTAGATAGCCTATACTTGCTATTTATTAAAATGTCAATTCATATACAGTTTCTTTCCACACTTGTCCTGCGCGCCGGTTTCTTTTCGGACACAACGCAGTTTTCTTACGGATGGAGTTATTATTGTCAGCAAATTCACATATTCAAATCGAAAAATCACAATTATTTCGTATAATGCGTTAGGACTAATTTGTTTTTACTTATTTATTATTGCTGAAGAGGGGTCTCACGCGCAGACCGAAACGTACATGTTTTCTTCAAATATTTTCTAATATACGTTTTTACAAATTTAATTTAATTTATCACCTTCAATCTGGTGACGGCTCACATTGCCCATAATTTTTCTTTCTTTATTCCTCTTTATTATTCTTTTATTATCTTAACGACCGTCATATACTTTTTAATTTCAATTACAGTTATTTCAATTTATAACGACACACACTCTGTTCTTTTAGTATGTTAAAGTTAAATTTCTCACTGTCACTTTATGGGTTTCACTATTTTTTTTCAGTAAAAAAATAATTTTAATAAATCTATTTACGTAGTTAAAAAAAATGTTTGTCAGTGTAGGTATTATTCTTATTATTCCTAATGCTAATTAATCTAAGTTTTAAGTTTTTATATATTTTTATATTTGTTAATTTTATGTAACACTTGCTATAATTCTTTGATCTCAATCTCACTGAGGATGACCCGAAAATGGATCGAAACGTTTGAAGATTGATTTATAAATTCGATAAAATGTTCATATTGGATATTTTCGCACGAACACCTGCGTTTGGCTCGCATTGGTCTCTTTCTCCCTACCAAATATTTCTTTTACAACCGAGTAACTGATTTTTCGGCTAATTTTAATTTTCATTCAATTTCCTTTTTCACTTGTAATAAAAGTAAAAAGAAAATCAATTAGAGAATACGAAAGAGAACAATGAAAGGATTATTAATAAAGTTCGTTAGTTCATATTTGTAACTGTTTATTTTATAACGACATGCCGGCGAATATAAATAAAGGAACGAACGCAGCATTGATTTCGAGAGAGGCAGATCGTTAAAACACGTAACTTAATGATGAGTTAAGTGGAGCTACCAATTTCCGGGAGAGAATACGCGGTTTCTATTTTTACGCGGCATTTTCCGGCTGTTGTATGCAGGAAAATGAGGGGCGCCGAGGGGAACGGGTTTATGAAACTGTTATACTTGGCGTATCCTTGCTATACAGTAACTATGTTTCTGCCGCGCGCATCGCGGCTACGTGGAAGCCCCCGCGCGGTGTGTGCAATCTATGCACTCGACGAAGTTTACTCGCCGCACTGCAGTGGTAACGACTCGTCGGCGTTGTTGCCGCGTGCCTTCTCGCTTCGAGAATGGATTCTCCCCCACCTGTCTGTTTTCAAATGATTTTCGAAGAGTCCCGCGGTGCAGTTTCGCCGCGGCGCGCGCACGCACACGCGGGACGCGGCGCACAATAACGCACGCACACCGCCGTACCTTGACAGGTATCGCGATGATAGATACGCCCGCGTACGGGCTTTTTTTTATTCATCCTTGCCGCTTCCGGTACCTTCGCGATTCCCTGGCAAACGGCCAGGATCGCAGCTCGTCCGAATCAGGACGCGCGGGCTCTAAAGTTCGACGCGCGCGGCCCCGTTAGGCAGTGCCCATTTCAAAATGAATTTTTCTCCACTCTCTCTCCCTCTCTCTCTCACTCGCTCGTTTTTTCTTTTCTCCCGTTCCTTTTTTGCGCGCGAAACGTTCCGGTCGAACGAGGCCGCGCCGTGGAAGTTCCGCGTAGCCGCGCGTATTTTCCCGAGCGAGTCCGTGACTTTTTGGAACACGATGTTTCCGTAACGTTGGTAAATAGATAAATGGATTGTTTAACGTAGAGCAACATTCTTAAAATCCGCGTACAGGGTAGACACGTCGCGGGATGCGTTACAGTTATTTTAGCCCCGGGTACCTGGACGGGTTAAGTGGCGCTTTAAAATAAAGAAAAGTGATTTATCGAGTGTCCTATCAATAAAATGGGATGGAAACTTGCAAATGAAAATTTCGTTCTTTATCAGCGACGGGTATTCCTTGTATGACAAAGGACGGTGATTGATCGCGGTGTAAAGTAATCATGTAAATTCGAGCGTAATCGATTTTCTTTCCACGTGACACGTAGTACGCGGTAATCGCGAGATTCCATTCAATTCAATTCGCTTTTAACGAAAATATCAGACGGAGTCGTCGCCGCGTCGAATCCGCGATCCTCGGATTTCGAGAGATTTGTCACCGACGTATGTTAGCGTCCTCGCGGGAAACAACCCCGGGGAGGAGAGAAGCTCTTCGCTCGCGGAAACATATGTAGCGCACGTTCGTCTGCGGAGAAAGAATTCTTTATGGACGCCTCGTAGAGGCTCGTATATTATCGCATAATCGTAAAGGCTTAAGCGCAATGCGGTCGGGCCCTCTCCACCGAGAGACCCGGTTGAAACTACGAACGTTGCGTTTTCTTTCCGGCTGTTCCTCAGTGTTCGCGCTATTCTCCGGCTCTCCGCGGGAGGATTTCACGGACAGTTCGGTCGCACGTAAAAGATGAAACGCCAACGGGAGAGGCAGACAGCGGGACGAGGTCTCAAGGCAGGAAGCTGCTTGTGAATTTTTCAGACTACGATGAATTACCTCTGATAGCAAGTCCGGAAGACGAGAGCTCCTAGGGACGGATGGGCAGACAGTTCGCGCGAATTGTAATAATTCGACGTGGTGATGTATGCGCATTATGTATTTATCGCGACGAAATGAGCCGGCGCGAGTGGCGAAAGCGATTGAATCCCGGGGCAATTGCTTCGAGCAAAATTCGAGCGGTGAATAAATTTGACGGGGAGGGGGTTTAGCTGCCGTTGAAAATGGAGAGAGGATTTTCCGGCTCCGGTCTTTTCCCGCGACAAATCAATCGTTTAATGCCTCTTGTGGCAATTGTTTCTGAAACATAAGTTGGGATTCGCGCTAAACGAATTATTCGCGCGATTTTCAGATCTATGTTATCTAACGATAGAGAGATTTTGTAGAAATATGTCGGTATCGTATTGGAGGACAAAGGAATAAAAATGTCTCTGGCGGCAACATCTATTTGATGTTTTATCGCAAATTACACTATGAAGAATATACAGAAAAACAATTGTAATACGTGCACTTTTCAAACTAAAAGAAATTATGAATATCCGCCGTGAATTAATTTAAAGGGTGAATTTGCACGTGAAATGTTCGCCACGTTTTGTTACGCTTTCGCGAATGCATCAGCAAATCGCGTAGGTGATCATCGCGGTGACGCGGAATATATTAGAATGTTTCACGGACACAGAAATGTGACAATTGTATATTCGCTACTTCATGTATGGTAAAAAGTAGCTGGTACAAAATGTTATTTCACTTCAGACTACGGAATCGCGCGTCTCGGAGCACATAAAGAAAGAAAGAGCTTTTTTAGCGTGACACACCTGTCTACTTTAAAGCTTTTGAAGATATGCAATTTTGAAATTTGAAATGAAACACAGAAAATATTCAGTCTCACGAGTGACGCTGGCCGCGGTTATGATATTGTGCCATTCGCGACATGAAAATCCAGGATCTCATCATTATACTTCGCGTCTGGATGTACCATTTTCCTCTATATTTATGAAGGCTAGCTATCTTGCTCTCTCCAGCTCTCTCGCTCCGCTCTCTCTTTCTCTCTCTCTCTCTCTCTCTCTCTCTCATTACGAAACATTTGCGGGCGGGATCTCTTTCGCGAGACGTCCTCGACAGGACGCAATATCGTATCGCGACTACAAACGTGCATACACGCCTCGCATAACACGTGCGATATTACGCTGGATTCATAAGAAATAAGCCCAGGGTTTTCATTGTGATTGCCACTGCATTCTGCCCCACCCACTCCCCTCCCTCCTCCCCCGCCACGATGATATCATCAACAGTTGGAAACCAATCAACTAGGGACAATTAAATCTCGTCATACGAATAGCCAACTATGCTTCTGCAATTAGCTTATTCACGCGAGGTCCGTGAACTATGCGCGGGTAACGAGCATTCGCGTGATTCTTCGACGAGCGCAAGTGTACTTTCGGGTATACGAGCGATCTCATTTTTTTCCCCCCGCGGAGTTAACGGCTAATTATGTTTCGCCGAGCGTATATTCCTATCTCACCTGATAGTCCATGTGATTCCCGTAGCCCATGTGGTTGCATGTGCAGGCGCATGCCTGAATGTGCCTCCGCATGTCGAGCTCGAGCTCCTCGCCGCGTACGCCTCTGTTCGTCGCCATCATCGTATCTCCCATGCAATAGCCGCCGGTGCAATACATTCTCGGGTCACTCTGATCCAGGTAACCCCCACCGGTGTCGTCGTATCCGAGCCCGCTGGCGCACCTGGAATCCGAGGCGTATCCCACCCGGGACTGAGGACGTTCCTCGTAGCCCAGTCTAGACTGGGACCGGTGGAATGTCGAGACATCCTGAAAGAAAAAGGAGGATTATCCTGCAACAAATCACTTAGTACCCCTTCGCCCCCCGATCGCGCCAGAATTAGCGGTTGGCAGCTCGTAATTGGTGCAGCCGGCGTTATTGCGACTTTTTTTTCTCGTCGAATCTCTGATAACAAGTTTTTCTTCACTGCGTGTCAGTTTTTTTAATTATTCAGTGATTAACGCGTGCGATAAATCCATATAGGTGTCGCGTTTCAGACGTTTTCTAACTCGAGGTATATCTATACGTCACATTTTTAAAGAAGCACAAGTAAACCTGTCGAAGACGCAGTTTTCGAATATTAAATGTAGTGATACATTTTTGACAAAACTAGTTTCAATAGGCAAGTCATTTTATTTTCCATACGTGTAATTGTTTTCACCACGATTCGCAAATTTTCCTTTCGTGTTACGTTTGAAATCGTACATGATTTGTTTAGCGATGAACAATGAGAACGTCAAATATAATTCTATGCTTGTTTGTTGCGATATTGTTGTATTCATCAGTTAAAACAAACAGCATATACCTTCTATACATTTGATAGAAACTTTAATTGGCTTTTCTGTACAGAATACTGAATGAAAATGACCCGAAAATAATTTCATTTTTGTCGAAACATTGCCAGGAAAAATCCTACAAATCGAATTAAATTGTGATGAAGAACAAATTTACGTTATGAATTATTATCAATATCATATAACGGATAAAAATTAATGAAAAGTTAATAGAAATTAGAGAATATTAATTGCGTTTTTTTAATAATATAGACGGTAAACTAATTTATTTAAGATTATAATATCTCTAACGCTAATATGATAGCAGAGTATAAAACGAAATAAATTATCTAATTTGGAAATGTGGATTAGTCTTGCGTTTCTACTATATTATGTATTTGAAGCAATACGGTTGATTAATCCGCCTTCGTAAACGAGATATCGTTCGCCAACCAGACACGCCAAGAATCTCTCGGGCTATGAAGAAATTTAATATTCGAGACGTACCGCGAACATTTAGAATTTGAAAAGAACCGTCTTAATGCGGCACAAAGGCGGAATGCGTTGGCGTGGGAATTGCAGTTGCGTAAGCGAGAGTGTATAACGTGCAGTCGCGGATCTGCGGATAAAATCTTTTCGCCATAACACGTCGAATTACCCGCTTCGATTCACCTAGTTTCCTTATTTACGCAACAGGGCGGAAATAACGATCTGGAAGAGGAAAAGTATTTTACGCGACGGTTCGTTCTACAAAACGCGAGGGGTAAACCGCTGACCAAAATCATGTACGAGTACATACACCAATGGCTTTACCCAGCGGGCATTACTTTGTCTTATTTTATCTTGTTTCATCTTATTTTACCTTTATAATGTCCCAGCAAGGCCTAATGCCCCAAAAATGCTTAGTAATGCCCAGTAATGCGCAAATCTGTACACCACAATGTCCTCAGCGGCTTACCTTTCGATAAATGCGTAGTACAAGAGTACAAGAGTAATACGATAATTCTCAAGCATTGTACAATATTTTAATGGTACATAAGTGTAACTTGAGCGTCTCGAAAAAATTTTGCAAAACTATCTACGATTCAACATAAATTCACTTATGAACCAGATTTTTGAGATTAATATAGTCACGTGTTTTTATGTAAATGCAAACCGTCATTCCAAATATGTTTTGCATAAACCGCCGTTGAGGATTACGTGCCTCGCGGTGTGTTTGAGGGAAAAATGCGAAAAAGAAACTTTAAGGCTACTTTATTCGTCCTGTTTATCTGTTGTGCATTCTTTCGGTACATTCGCAGTTACCACGATTGCACGCGGCAGTACTCGATGGCTTATGGGCTACCATATTCCGCGGTACGTTGCCGCATCGTCCTTCGATATGGACGGCGGCACGACGAGCGCCAGCGCGAATCGCGCGGCTTTTTATCGGCCCCTATCTTTATACCCGGCACCGATACGGCTCCCCGTAACAGTAAAGTATCGATATCGCTAAAATAACCGGAACGTATGTACCGGTCTTTGAAGTCGAAACCGTATACACGGCGCGGCGCGGCCCAGGATCCTGAAATTCGCCCAGTAACGTTCCGCCGTCATCGCCATACGATTCCGAACGATAGAGACCGTAGGAGTATAGTTGGCACCTTGCTCCGCGATTTCACGAGCGCGGGATAGCGCCACGTTCGATCGATAGTTTGACGATTTCTGAACATTTGCCACTTCCTTCCGAAGCTTTGTAAACTCCATCGAGCCTCGCGAGATGATACGCAATAACGCGTGGCACGTTGTTCACGTAATTTCTTACGCAAACGGTAATTGATCGAGAAAGCCTATCACAAATTCTGTGATAAACAAGACGATTTTAGAATTGTACTTGTGGAAAAATGTTTCCTTTTCGTTTTGAAAAATTAATGCTTCCAATTAAGTTGTTTTTCTCTTTAAAGTTTCAGAATTTCTCCCGTCGTCTTTTAATTTTGTTTTATTAAATTCTTTTTCGCCCGAAGAGAAATAGCGCGGCGGTACGATTAAATAGAGAAAGTGCACGTTCGGTAAGCCATCTGCGGCGATATCGTCTCGTAGAAAATATCGAGGGGCGAACAGATGATCGGCACGTGATCGCTTTGTATACGTGTTATGCATTTGCGAAATTGCAGTCCGCAGGCGACGTGGCTCGTGGCTAGCGATGCTGAAATTTAATAGGATATTGATACTTTTACTTTTTGGCATGAAATGCCGCAAGTATCGGCATATTTTCTACATACTCGATATTTTAAATCGTTCATAAATATTGATACTGGTATTGTCCGTGATACACAAGAGACCAGCTGTAATTAAATTCAAACGATGAAAATCGACGCATCTTTGGCGTATCTTTATTCAACGCTTCGGCCGATCTTGTCCTTTCGCTGTTCTGACAGTCGATTATATAATCGAAGGTAAATCGTCGATGATAAAAATACTCGGTCTAGAAAGCAAAGTATTGTTATTGTCCATGTTCTACTTTGCGCGGTAATTAATTCAGTCCAATAATATCGCTCTTGTCCTTGATTTAGTTTTTGCGATTCTACGGTACGCGATCTCGCGACGCGAACGGCTTCGAATCGATAGTCCGTATTAATGCTCGTACGGCGAAACTTGGAGAGCTGAAGCGTGCAGCCAGGCCGAATCAATTTTCGGATACCGAAAACCCGTAATAGCTCTTCGAAGATTCCCGCGGCGAAGTTAAAGCGGTCTCTCGCCGAATTTCTGCAAGCAGAGAGACGAAACTTGTGACTGCGCTGTTAGAAACCTCTCTCGCTGACGAGACGAGGAGATAAATACCGTGGCTCGCCTCTTTTCCTACGAATATCGTACTAATAAATGTCGTCGAGTTGGAGGAAAAAATAAGCTCGTCACGATTAGCGACGCGACGCTTTTAGTAACGCTTTTGCATTTATAATGTATTTTGAGAGTGCATTCTTTTTCTGTTTGTGGACAAAAATTGTGAAAGATTTAAAGACGTATTCTTTTGAGCTTACAAGAGAAAATGTCCCGACATACAAAAGATTATTTTTTCATTGCTCGAATTCATTCTGAATTTTTTAATCGAAATTTTATTGAAAGAAATAATGAGAAATTAATTTTCTCTGTAAAATTTTTGTTCTATCTCCTTATGTTGGCGAATAATGACTGTTACACACTCGGAAAGCTGTAATTGTATGTTATATTTGTCTTTGTATATTGCGACAAAATATATAGAGGATTCAAACATTGTGAACGATTTAGAGACGTATTCTTTTGAGCTTAAGAGAAAATGTCCCAACATGCAATAAATTATTATTTTACTGCTCGAATTTATTTTGAATTGATAAATTTTTTAATCAAAATTTTATTGAAAGAAACAGTGAGAAATAAATTTTCTCTGTAAAATTTCTCTTCTATCTTCTTATGTTGGCGAATAATAAGAGAAAAATTCCTTTAGAGTGAATTTAGGTAATGAACAAAAAGTTATCAAGACATTTTCTGCGCCTGTCAAAGTTTCATCATTTTTGAGTTTCTGAAATTCGGGCATCTTTCCTTGTTAGTGCACTTTTGTTGAACAACACTGAAAATCACTATCTTATTTTATTATTTTACTTTTTATAGTTGTCAGTTTTTTAAAAAGTGGCACGTTATTAAATTTTGATTACGATCACGTGTTTTATATTTTCCTGGGAAAGCTGCGATGACAATTGTTTTGTCTCACACGTGTGTGTATTGCGATATAAATTGCTTGCTCATAAATAATTTTTCTTGCGTCTCTAATGTCACGAAAGACAGAGCACATTTTTATGCATGAAAAGTTCTCGCGATTCGTATTATCGATATCGTTTCAGTTCGCTGAGTCATGACTTAAAGCCCGCTCTTTCCACGCTAACTAAGCTCCTATTTCTCTGGAAGTAGCAAATTCAATTTTCACCATTCGATAATCATAAATACCAGACTCGAGTGGTTTCGTTATAAAATGGCGAACTCGTTCGATTCTATTGGATAATTATCGTGTAATACCGACACCTGGAGGTGATATCAAATTTAATCGACATCGATTTGCACGGTGGCACTCGGTATCACTGAAGTCCGATGCGAATAGCCAATATTAATCGCATTAAGATAAATTATACAATATTAATTTCAGCTTATGACGACATAAAACCGAACTCTAATACTGGTTGAATATTTTTATCAAAGAAAAGTATTTTATTTATACATGAAGGTACAAACAAAACGGACGAATGGGACATATTCATTCGTACTGTGTAAATATGATTCAAAGCTGCTTCCAAAAGTTAAATTTTATCTGGTTATTTCATTAAAACTTCCCATTTGTTCATATGTAACTTGACGGATACAAGAACGTAATAATATAATGTAATTCCGAGTGAAAAGTCTGTATTGTTCGAATTTTTGAAGCAATCAGGAGCTATCCAATAATACCAATGTTAATGATATTAATTAATCTATGGTATTGGCAAAAACTTTTTCGCTACATGGCTTCTCTCGTGTACAATCGGACGCATTCAACGACCGAATTTCTCTTTAACATTTAAGAAGGTTGTCTCGTTACCTGCAACACGTTTCCTAGTGTTACGTGATCTTTATGTCTCGAACGTGTCATGCTTGCGACAAGTGAGAAAATAATCGCGCGTAAAATCGCCAAGGATGTGAGTACGCACCGTACCGTTAATGCGATCGAACGTAATGAAATCCATACCTGCGGATAGGGCTCCTCCTGGTACGGTGTCCTGCGATGGTACTCGTCGTAACACCTGGTGTCGTAGCCGCTGGGCGGCCGTGGGTACGGGTCTTGCACCCCTACCGCGGCCGCGCAGCAGTCCGGGATTTGCGCCTGGTAGGTTTCGTAGGGATACTTCGGATCGGGCTGGACCGATCGCGGAGCCTGGTGAACGCGCTCCTGCGGCCCGCCACCACCGCCACCGCCGACGCCGCCGTCGCCGCCGCCGCCGCCGCCGCCGCCGCCGCCGCCACCGCCGCCGCCACCGCCGCCGCCGGCGTGATGCATCGTCGTCGTCCGCTCTCGCGGACCTCCTCTCGCCTGACCTCGCACCACACCACCACCACCCTTTCCCGATCACTGCATCCTAATGCCGCGTGGCGCGCGACGCGCGATCGAATCCGCGGCCTCGGCGAGCCTCGTCTCTGTCGCGCGGCCCTCTTCGCGCGGGTCCATCCTCACCACTCGCCACTGTACCCTGCGCTCTCTCCCTCTCTCTTTGCGAGCATCGGATCCCTCTAGCCCATCCCCGAGTCGTTCACCTGCACACGATTATCGCGCGTGAGAAGCCTCGTCGCCCTCTCTCGCGTGCATCAATTCGTCAAGTGGGAACGCACCGCGAACGTCGCCCGCACGATGCGTCCTGCGCACCCCACTCGAATTAATGCACCGCATTACAGCCCGGACTAGTGTAACTCCGGGCCATCCGTATCCACTCTTAACTGCCGAAAGTAAACCGCCGGCCCTGCTCTTTACCTACTTGGCGCGCGTATCCATCTCGCGGGGGAGGGGGCTTTTTTACGTTATTTACCCGGGCTCTTTTAATCTTAGTCCCTTTGGACGCTTTTTCAGCGTCGTCCCGTAGCGCGAGCTTTTAGATACTCGTACTCGCGGAACGGCGATGCTCGATCAACGTGCCAGGCTTGATCCACCCATTGATCTTCTCTGACCCCTTGTCTGGGCGGAGTGCACGGTGTTGCTGTGTAAACTAATGAGTTTGCGAGGAGTAGGATGAAGAATCGATCCTCTCCGGCGGATGCAATTTTGACACGTTAAGAATGCTGATGCGCGGCGTGTCGGGTATTCGTAAGCTGCTTTTGAGGCGCGTGACCGACTGCCACGCCAACAGACGTCGACTATAAGGATATTCTGTATTACCCGATCCGCGATGCATCTCGCCAAGTTTACCTGGACTATTTCCATCGAAAATCCATCCGTCTTTTACGGCGAAATAAGTTTCGTCTCTTTGGAAGCCACATGTGCTCTCCTAATTTAAACTTGCCACGTTTCTACGGCCTTGGCTCGGGCCGATACATTCTCGTTATAGATCTCGAATATTTCGGTTATGCGCGGGACTAAGTTGGATGAAGTGTCTGTGCATGGACCGTAATTAGCGCCTCTTAATTTATCGCGCAAGGTCTATACAAGCGCGCCCGGTTGAAACTTTGATGCAGCGATAGAGCAGCATACAGGCGAGATCGTGTAAAGACCTAACGTGTCCTATTTGGGACACGTTGGCGTGTCTTTGCCACGGCTTTCGAATATATTAATCGCGAGAGGCGCACCGGATCGATCGCCATATTTGGAACAACTATTCCGTACACGGTTCTCTCTCTGTTTCAATGGTTATACGTAGTTTGATCAGCCGATTACGAAACAAAGATAATTTAAGCTTGCATGATGTCTGAATTATACATGAACACATGATTCACGAGAAAACAAGGCTATATAGTGCAATCTATTTGCACCTCCCGTACTCTCTAAAAGTCAATCAGTGGATTATCACAGAGAACGGTGAATATTCACTGTTTCACTGATTCAATTATTCAGTGCTATACTTATAACTGTTTCAGTGATAATGCACTGATTGACTTTTAGAGTGGCTCGTGTTTTCTTCATTGCTGACGTGTGAAAATATAAATAAGTCATATGCAATATGAATTATTATATTATGTTTTAACAAGAATACACCTTTTTTTTATTGCGCTCCTGTAATATAATATGCGTTGAGGAATATAAGGTGTACAAGTCATATTCTCCATTGCAAATGCGAGTTGGCGAATGCAGCCTGGAATCTCTAGGCACATGGACTTGGAAACTGAAAAAAAAAATATAACGGTTATGTCAACCTCTGGTACAAGCGAAATATTTAGTTTCCGTTCTGCTTGTTCGCAAACAAAATATTTTATTTTTGTTTTCATGAACCGAAGTGAAAAAAAGACTTTTAAAATAAATTTTACATTTTAAATGAAATTTAATATAAAAAATTTGGCCTTTTTACAGCAAACGAATGTTCGTGCAATTAAATGTCGATGGAATCTTGTGTTGCGCGCGCGTTAAATACGTGATATTTTAAAATTAATGAAAAATATCATATAGTATTTCATTTATCTGGTTATAACAGGAATTCATTATTATTTATCTCTTATTATGAATTAAAAACTAGATGAAATAATTGTTTCGTATTTAACAAAATTTCAATTAATATTGTTATTGTCTCGACTTTAATATCTGCTCGGGCCACCTATATACAATAGATGATGCCGATATTAAACTAATATATTGTTCACCGTCATAGATAGTAGATGGTAGATAGTATGGTAGATAGATGAAATAGATATAGACACTAACGCTACATCAGGCAATCATTGACTTTTACGATCTCGATTATAGAGATACTTTGTAGGTTCCTGTAATCCGCATACAATATCTATAAGATGACGTCAATACTGCATTTAACTCGCGAATCGCTCCATCATTTTACCCATTCAAAATCGATCAATAATTGATATTAATAAGCGTGTAATTTTTCACCTCTCGACTGCGTTATTTCTGCGCGAATTACGGTCGCAATTTTCATCCATTTAATAAATTAACACAAATATAATTTATTGAATTGTTGAATGTTGTGTGAAATGAAAAAGAGAAGATGGGGGAAACAAAAATCAGCAGTTGTCTCGTATAATTGTACGTGAGAAACACAATCGTAGTTGACGATTCCTGACATCTTAGTCTGTAAATATATAAGAAAATAATGTTGCCTACACAGCTGGAAAATTTCTGTTTTCTTGTTAAAGAAAATGCCGTTTTGCCATTTCTAGTGTCATAAAAAATATGTTAATTTTACACAAAATTTATTTCAAATTATTTTGAGATTTGCATCTATTTTGTGTTAAAATATTAACAGAGTATTAGCGTGTTTATTTAATCCATATTATGTTAAATTAACACAAAAATTTGTGTGGGCTGTTTGGGACATGTGATATCTGTTAAATATAATACAAATTTTTCAACTATGTAAGAAAATTTTTTTATAAGAGGTACGTTTCTCTTTCTACCGCATTTTTACGAAATGAAGGAGCTAAACGTTTACTTGACTAGGGTTGTAATTGTTTATTCATTGATCAATTCAAATTCTCTACTTCTCTGCGACCGACGGAAGCGATGAGTAATTACATTTTATTTTCGCGATGATATCTGACAATCGATCGGCTTCGATCGCATAGAACACGTATACATCGCGAGATCTATTTCGCAGCGATTCAGAGCAATATCGGTAAGGCGAGCTCTCGCGACCGATACTCGAAAAGGCAATCTCATTATTACCCGCAACAACTTAGCTCTCGCCTATTCGAGCCGGGCAGCACGTTTCGGTTGTTCGTGTGTGTCGGAAATCAAAAATCCCTCGGCAAATACTTCGGAAGATATCAGCGGCGATTCTACCTCCGCTGTATCGCAGACGGCATAACTTGTTTCGACCAACAAACGCGAACGTGCTCGGAACTGCGAATCCGCTGGTTCTCTCGAGTGAATTAGACGCTCGGAAGATATTGAAGGAAAATTGCTCGCGGTGCAAACGCGGATTTCGAAGAATTTAAAATACAGCCCCGGTGTATATACTCGTACATGGGGCTCCCTCGAACTCTGTTCTTTTTTTTATCACGATAGGCGAATTAAAGAAATGCAATTCACTTTTCAAAAAAATCCCCTTTGTCCTTTAGAAATAATTTTGAGATATAATAATTTTTAGGAACAGATAATTGGCTCGCTATAACTGTCCTCGAAAATAAAGGGCTTTTTCGCGAATTAACAGTCTTCTCAACGTAGTTAAATAGAAAAATCTATCCCTCCATTTATTCGCGATATCTCCGAGTTTTAATTCGAGATTTAAGCATTAAGATATGTCTGTGTGCCCGAATACTTAAAAGTTACGGCAAATCCCCGGTGAAACTTTTTCTGAGGAAAAGCATAAATTGGGGGATTTTCGAGACAGCCATATATTATATCAAGATTATGTCAGATCGATGCGGAGATATGTCATTCCGCGTGATTTCTCGCGTAATTCGCAAATAAAACGAACATCGAATGGCGCAGCGGAGGATCAAGAGCGAGCCTACAGCGCCGTGGCACACAACGCTCGCGCAATCCAGCCACGAGCTCTCCCGGAAGCTCGGTTCGATCACGAATTCAGCGTGCGCGCGCGTAGCGGCCGCGCTCGCTCTCCCGCCAGAGTGGATTCAGTTCCCCTTTGTTTTACTTCGCCTCTCATCTCTCTGGCCGCTTCCCGCATTCTCGGGGCGACGGCGGTGCTTTCGGCGTACGTGTTCTTATCCCGTATTTCCGCCTCCCGTGAGTTCCGTCCACGGCGAGCGATAGCGGAACACCGTCCATGAAAAGCAACGCTCCTACGGGCTCACTCGATGATGATCAGCGGCGGCGGCAGCGGGAGGATAGCAGGGCGAGATAGGGCGTGATAGTATGGAGAGAGAGCTCGTTGGCTACGACTTGCCGCGCGCGTACACTGTTTTATTCATCCTCTGTAGTCACAGACTACCACTTGGCCGAGATCCGCGCGGGCACGCTCGATTCCGCAGACACTCGACTAATCGACCAGAATCTCATTTTCATTTTGCTATTCTGAAACGCGCGCGCGAAGGCAATCGCTCGTCTCGTCGGTCGCCGCCCATCGTCTACCCTACACCTTCAGAAAGGATTTTTCTTACCGCGAGACAAAAATATTCTTGACGCATTTATATTTCTCTCACAACCTCATTTAGTATCAAAATAAGACAATATCAAAATAAAATCAATCATTTTTATTCTCCTCTATCGAATTAAACAAGATTGACTTACTATAGTGAGACAAGAGTAACTTCTATAAATGTAAGTTTATATATTCTTGCGTTTAGAATAAATGTTCCCTCCATCTT